CTTACACAGGCTGAAATGAGCCACTATAGTATTCACAATAGGAGCTTAACTTCACATTCACATGTTGTCAAATTAAAATATGAGGTATTGAAATAAAATAATTTTACTATAGGAACCATTGGTGAATGGCTCAAAAATGACTATTTTCATGGATATTTTATGTGAAAAGTAGAGACCATAGTCCTTTTATGCAATTTCTGTGAACAATAGCAAAAAATTTATAGCATATGGAAAATAAGTAAAGGGAATCATCTGATATGATTTAATATTATTAAACTAGTTGGGCCATTCTGTATGTTTGTACACAACTTGTTATTGTAACAACATACACAAAAGACGTTTGATTTTAATTTATTATCACATGTTTCTCATTTGACAGTGTCTGAGAATAAAGTGTTGACACATCCATCATCAGTTGATTCATTGTCAACCAGTGGAGGTACAGAGGATCATGTATCCATGGGTGGATTTGCTGCGAGAAAAGCTCTCACTGTGGTAGAACATGTTGAACATGGTAAGATTGGTTCTGTGGCGGCAACTGTGGTGGCATGTGATGGAGATAAGGGTATGCAACTGTGGTGGCGTGTGGTGGAGATAGAGGTATGAAACCGTGGTGGCGTGTGGTGGAAATAGAGGTATGCAACCGTGGTGGGATGTGGTGGAGATAGAGGTATGTAACCGTGGTGGCGTGTGGTGGAAATAGAGGTATGCAACCGTGGTGGCATGTGGTGGAAATAGAGGTATGCAACCGTGGTGGGATGTGGTGAAGATAGAGGTATGCAACCGTGGAGATAGAGGTATGCAACCATGCTGGGATGTGGTGGAGATAGAGGTATGTAACCGTGGTGGCGTGTGGTGGAAAGAGAGGTATGCAACCGTGGTGGCATGTAGTGGAAATAGAGGTATGCAAACGTGGTGGGATGTGGTGGAAATAGAGGTATGTAACTGTGGTGGTGTATGGTTGGAAAGATATAGGTATGCAACCGTGGTGGGATGTGGTGGAGATAGAGGTATGTAACCGTGGTGGCAT